TGGGGCGCTGCACAGTGCAGCTGAGTGCGAGTCAATTCACTGTGTCTCACTTGGTGCTCACCGCATTCTCAGTCACGGCGCTCGGCTTGCCTTCCTTGATGGCGGTCTTCTTGCCCTTTTTGGGACTCTGGGTTTTCTGTAGAAGCGCTTGGTCATCCTGACGACGTTGCGACCGGGCAAATGGTAACTAATACGCGTGGTCGAGACCGTACATTGGTCAAGACCATCGCATTCGATCTCACCTGCTGCAGTTCTTCCTCTATTCCATTCTGTACCTCCGGGCGCTCCCCTTCCGGCTGCTGATCCTCTACAGCGTTGGACGGCTGGTTTGCGCGATCCTCCTCCGGTTGCTGAACTTGTGCAGCGCTGGACGGCTTCTTCTTGGTTCGAGGTTTGGGACGCTGTACAGTGCAACTGAGTGCGAGCCAGTTCACTGTACCTTGTTTGGTACTCACCGGTTTGTCAGTTTCAGTCGCGGGAGCCAGTCGCTCCTCCTCTTTCTCGTCCTCCGATTCCACTACGGGCTTCGATTTGGGAAGCTTCTACAAAGGAATAAGCTCGGATTGGATGCAGGACGTCTTGCTACGAAACACTCACTTTCGTCGCCCCACGCTTCGAGGGAGGGGGAGCCTCTGTTTCGGATTGAAGTACATCTGTGCGCTGCAAATAAGTAAGATCATTGCGTGATATCGAAGCACTGGAATATGTACATCTCCCTGCGAGAGAATCAGCTTTCAAATCTAAACGCGAAAAGGGACGATTTGCCTTCTTGGACCCACGCTTGGCTTGTTTCTGGGTCTCGGATTTGGACGGGGGAACCTATATTGCCTGAGTGGACCTTGCAATTTGGAGCATGGCTTGAACGTACACTTTTCTTCTGTCCAGAATGTTAATAAACGCGAGCAGAGGTCCATAATAGGACGAACTTTAGACGGAGAGGCATGAGTGGTTGCTACCGACTTATTCGCCGCTTTGCCCAGGCCTGAGGAGCGCGTCGTTCTGCCGGTATCGCTGGATCTAGTGACAGGCATGGTGAGCTGTACCAAAAAAACCGTAAGCATCCGCATCTTGACAAACGAGAGACGACGCACCTGTAGATCGAGTTCCCCTTGTCGAGATGAGGGTTGATCAGTAAACGGATCTCACGTGGTTTCGCAAACAATGATAAGGGGGATTGTGATGGTAGACCTGGTGGCGGTGGGATAAGATACGATCAGATTTCTCTTATCCTCTGATCTAGGCATTGTTGTAGCACGGCCACAGCTACTCCCATCACCTACTGCCCAAATCTGGCCTAATCAGCGCACTGCCATCTTTTCCACCTCTTTCAAGTTCCTGTCCGCTGCGCATACAGATAAACCTCGCGAACGCTCTATTCGCCGTCTATATCAAATACTTTTGAGTACTCCATCATTTACTGACCACTCGAAATCAGCTAAACATCTCTTCAGAATGTCTGCCAGTTCCGACAGTCAAAACACCTTGTCAAACCGCAAACGTCCTCGACATGCGTCCGATTCTGAAAGCTCAAACAAGCGTACGAAGGGCTCTCACAAACCGCGAACTGTGAAACCGCTGGCCCTTGTAAGTCCGATATCACACTCAAACTTTGTGTCCTCATGTGAACTCCGTGCAGTCTTTCTTAGATCAGTATGCAAGCTCGGACGGTGATGATCCCGAGGAGGAACGTACAAGACATGACATCGAAAGTCCAGTCCAGGCGGCTTTTGCCCCCGACGTCGTCCCCACTTGTCCGACGATCCCTCAGCTTGCCGACGAGACGGAGCAACCTCTGAGTGAGGCTCAGGAGAAGCGCGCGGTCCAGGGCGAGCCATATGAGGAGGACGGAGAACGGGTCGACGGTGAGGCTCAGGAGAAGCGCGCAGTCCAGGGCGAGCCATATGAGGAGGACGGAGAACGGGTCGACGGTGAGGCTCAGGAGAAGCGCGCAGTCCAGGGCGAGCCATATGAGGAGGACGGAGAACGGGTCGACGGTGAGGCCATCGTATCTAGCTCCCGACGTCCGTCACTGACCACACGATAAAGACTGCTCCACTCTGGAACCAGCCTTGCTCGATGTCGAATTGAAGATGGAATTGTATAGCGCGATCGCTCTCGCGGACGTTCTAGTCCCAGCCTCGGATGTCACATGCACCTTGTGCGTACCTTGTCTCTAATACTTTCGTCATGTCTCCTCACAGTGCGTAGCAATCACAAGCAGTACCCGCTTTGGAAAGTCATGCGGTCGCAAACCATGGGGGAAATGAGCATCTTGCCGGAGAGAAGGCCTCGAACCCCACCACCCGAAGCCGAGGATTCCATTGCAGCAACCCGGACTGAGGAAGACTCGGAGAAGACTCTTTCCGTCCCAGCCGCCAAGCTCGATGTCGGTGATGATTGGCTTGCAGGGCTGCCTCTCATGGGTCAGCGTGTCGACGTAGTTTGCCGGGACAAAGAGACCTTGAAGAGCATGATGCACGAGGCCGAAACGAGCGTGGCGAAAAAAGGCGGGAAATCGACACGGACCACGAATGCTTTCACCCAGGCGCTTCTGAACGCACATTCTCGTCGCGGTTTCATTGTACCCCCTGCCAACTGGCGTAATCTTGAAAACAAGACTTTTTCGGTGGTGCTGGGGCCAGTGCAAAAGAAAATCATCAAGGCCCCCGCAAGAGCGCTTAGGCCTTCTCGGGTCCGCCTTCCTCGAAGCTTTCCTGAAGACGTTCAAGACCTCCCGTCGATCTTGGACGTTGCATGTCGTGTCATCATCATTGGACCGGACATAGACGGGAACAACGAGCATTTGGGCAAGTACGGGGAGACGATGCCCGAGACACGGAGAGGGGACATCATTACCATTCGCTTTGTGCCGGTGCCGGGTCCAGACAGGGAGAACATTCCGGCCCCGAATGAATTTCATATTTTCTCCCTGTGCTCATCGCTCAATGTCAATGCTGCTGATTCTCTTCCCCAGCACTTGAAATATAGCATCTCAGTATTTACCTAGTTCGAACTAATATACGCATCTACTACACAAACACCTTCTTGAAATGACTGATGCATCCTGTGTACACTAGTTCGGGCGAATTGTGGGTTGCCGACCGACGTCGCATGGTGCAAATTGGGAGCGGGCGAGTACCGCCACCCTTCCTCCCATCCAGATCACATCTTATCAAGCACTGCCACTCGGTTCCCATCACGTTTCCATCTTATCGTGCACCGCCAAAAAGATTCCCATCAGGATCTCATCTAATCGTACACCGCCATTGACATTCCCGTCCGCTCGTGTTGTCTGACGCCAAACAGTGCCATCGCGTCCGTTTACTTGCTCTTCACTTCCTGCGGGGGGTACCCGGACTCTGCTCATCGACGATACCCCCTTGTCTACGCCTCTACGTTTACTACCAAGGTTCTTGACTTCCATATGGCGACCCGCGCGGCGGCTTCTGAGGTTGTGTACGGTTTGGATGGTGCTCTGGGATTGACGGACGTGCGGTTGGTTCTACGACACGGGAACTGGAAGCGTGTCTTAGATGATGAGGTGCGCCGTGTTACTGAAAAAATGCGGAGGTCCTGATGAGTGACAGGCCCTCCACCAGAATAGCAGTTTCCGCCATTTTCGTACCGCGACTCACCGCGCACTTCAAAAAATGAGCGCTATGCTCACCGCAACCGATGCGATCGGCCCTCAGTCCCGCCTTCGCCAGGAGAAAACCCTGCATGACGCCATCTGGCCGAAAGGCTCCGTCACTCCAGCCCAGCATGCCGCATACAAGGTGCATGAATGGGCGAGCGTCGTCGAATCCCGCTGTGTTGAAGGACATGAGGCAATCGACACGGAACTCGCTATGGATCTCGACAAACCGTCGAACTGGTTGGCAGACTTGAGCTTCAGCCAAGTTAGACTGCGATGCACGTGGTGGGCGATCTTGGCTCAGGACTGGGTGAGTATCAGATGACTTTGGGATCGGGATTCTTACGCGATTGGGGAAAGGATGTGGATGTGGCGCTCCACAAGCAGGACTATCAGGATGAGTTGCGCCGAGCACTTATCAAGGTCGATGCCATGAAGCAAGCGGCACTGTCCTTATGTTACGGCTCAGTCTTGCCTCCTGGCCGGTCTCTCTACGAGTTTATCTGGCCGCTCGGATATCCAACGCTGGCAGAGCGGCTGGCTTTCGAGATCGAAACCTGGGCTACGATCATCGAATCTCGATCCGTGGGTGGTCAAGCGGAAGTACCCGTGTTGGTCGGAATGGAGGGATACGGCTACGTGATGCGACCCGGCAACGGAGAGTACCAGTTCGATCCATACATGTAATGTGCAGGTGTTTTGCAATTTGATTAGAGATGAGTGCATGATTTCAAGCCCAGTGAGGCCGCGTTTGCGGTTGCGACCACATCTTAGGTTGCGACCACATTACCTTACATGTGGAAAGGAAAGGAGATTGTGCACATAGCTATGTCCAGAAGTTGTCAAAATAAGTCTTAATGACGTAGAATTATGCGTTCTTGAAATTCCAAAAGCAACGATAAGTCGCAAAATTTTAATGCATAGCCAGATCTTGATTCGATCCGGCGACTCAAACGCAGACAGTTCTAATGAACGAATTATTACCATTATACAACGACGCCTGCAGGGCATCTACACAATCAGGGTTCAGTCTCTGTACATCCTCACGGCCCAGGCCTCAGGCATAATGGCCTGGAAGACGCGAGCTTTGGGAGCTCGTGGCACTTCAGATGAGCCAATGAATGCTTTCCTGAGCATCATATCCAGCACTGTGATCGAAGCCCAGACTTCCTATACAGCTGCCCAGCCACAATCACTCCCGTCTCGGCTGCCTAGCAGTCTTGCATTGGGCGAGCGTGAGATGTACACGATATCACGTGGAAGACTTGCTCTCGGAGACTACGTGGGCGCGGTGTGCGCATAAAGGGCTCGGTTAGTAGATACATTCTCATCAGAAATGTCTCACTGAGCGATAGTCATTCCCCCAATGCCGTCCAAATTTAGCAAAAAAACCAAAAAGGCGTCAATCGAGCCGTCGGCTCTCACCCTGCTGGATGGTCCGACAAAGGGCAAGCGCGGCGTTTTTGGCAAGCTTGCGACCTATAAACCGCTGTTTCATTTGGGTGGAAAGGCGAAGACAGCGGTGCGCGTCCCGGCGGAGACCCCGGTATCTGCACAGCGAGCATCGTCACCCGCTCGGTCATCCACACCCAGTATGCCCAAGCCACAGACGCCTTCTCGTTCAATTTCCAACCGACGCACTCTTCCTCCTATGAGTCCATCGACTCCTCTACGCTCATCCATGGTTCCACCGACTCCTACACGATACGGCGGATCACCGTTCTCGCGATCCCCGCCATTCCAGGATGACGTGAACCTGCCCTCGATCGTCACTCCATTCAACATCGAGGGGATCGACGACCGTTATCAGAGAACTATGGCTCAGGCGTCGACTGCGTGGCAGGAGAGAATCATCCCACGTCTCATTCCCGTATTCATAAAGATCATCCACTCCACCCGCGGCTTCCAACGTCTCCAGGAGCTGCCGATTCCTGGCCGTCGAGTCTGTAGATGCGGCAAGACTCGCCTTTGTAAGGTGTCCGTCTGTCGTATGAACGGCATGTCTTTTGTCTCCGAGGCGTTTGCACTGGCTAATCTTACAGCAGAGATATATGATATTCAGATAGACGCTTGCGACTGCGTGCCGGCCGCACAACAGCTGCTGGAAGCGGGGCTTTTCCCCTCCGCCCCGTTACATCCGTCGTTCGCGGTCGAGCTTCATGTCTTGGAGCTGACCCGAGAGGTATTCCTGCGGACCTCTCCAAACAACACGGCCTGGACGGCAGCGCTGGAGGCTTTTCTACAAAATCTTGGTTTCCAGCTTGATCATGAGGTAAGTCTGATCGGGCATTGGTGTCTACTATCAGCGTCCTAACTTGCTGCTCAGGGAACACTGCGCCGCTCCTTTGCCTCAGCGCTGGAGTGGTACTCACATCTCCGTAACGTCGTCGATGAGCACGTCGATGTTCTCCAGGAGAAGGTTCGGCGCGACGTGGTTGGAGATGCCGTGCTCGACTCCACTGCCACTCCGCCGCAGATGGGCACTCGCAAACGGGATCACAAACGCCCTCTGGAAAAGGAGAATCCGTTTGCAACACCCATCAGGCGCACTCGCGCGTCTGAGTATCTGCGACGTCGATGCCCCGCGTGCTTTGGGGATATGAAGCATGATCGCGACTCAACGTAAGTCCAAAAGCGCCTTTGCGACAATGGTATCTGATGTGATTGCAGTGCCGATGTCTGCGTCTGCACGGATGCATGCTTCACACAGAAGCGCGAAGCTGGGAATATGGATCCACCCAAGATCCATCCGCACAGCGTTTTTATATCGGCCGGGACTTGCGAGGAGATGGAAGCATATGTCGATGAAGTCCGCGGTTCTAGGCCTCTGCCAGGACGTCCCGCACCCAAGAAACGCCGCGGCGCCCGCGTGAAGGCCACCGTAGCCGTCGAGGAGGAGGAGGAGGACCACATAGAGTATGAGGCTCTGCAGGTCCCCAAATCCGTTCTCGACGGCTGCGAAGACTCCTTCAAGGCCGCCGACGAAAGTCGAATGAGATCCGACTCCGATCGTTTTGACGACACCGGTCTCATGGCTTTGCTGTGCCGGCATGATCGCGTGCTCTGGATGGCGAATATGAAGTCCAAAGGAGAGAAACAGTTCTACACGCTTGCCCTGTTGGAAACGTTGTTCCAAGACCTTCCAGAGGACATTGTCGTGGCCATTCTCTACGACATCGCATGCCAACTCCATCGATCCGTTCTCAAGTGGGGCTTCCTCGCGCCGTTCATCAAGCGCATGGTCTTTGCTGTGGCTGTGTTTCATGCATTCGTGCACCGACTGGAATGTCAACTGCGCTATCATCCTCGAAAAAGGGAAGGGCTGGGCTTCACCAGCGGTGAAGGGTGTGAGCGATTGTGGCATCTCATCAGTCGTCTGATCTCGTCTCTCCGCAAGTCTGGGGTAAGTACTGTCTCGTTTCATCGAGCTATTGACGAAATCACTGACGAGATGACAGTTTCACCACCGGCTATATACGTTGAACACCCAACTCCGATTCATTGATGAGAACAACTTGTTTGCCCTTGGTGCCTGGATGGCGCGTCGGCAGGCCTTCTGTGACAACAAACAGGCGAGCGCCGAGGCCATTCTGGCTGAGATGGCGAAGAGAGGATACAGTCGCGCCGACTTGGCTCAGCAGTGGGACCTTCAGGTGAAGACGCAGACCAAACCACAGCCAAGTGAGTGCGACACTTTCACATAGCTACATCTAACTTGGCAATCTAGGTCGCTCGAAACATCTCGGCGTTCAGGCAGTGAACGAGGTGCTCGCGTTGCGCGGGGAGAAGAAGGCTGCAAAAGACCGGGTCTGTGAAGCCGAGCAGACCTGGAAGGACGCCACTGGGGCAGATGACTCTGCCCGGCTCGATGCGCGTTCAGCCCTTCTGGAAGCGCGGCTCGATCTGGAGACTGTGACGGAGAACCTGGCCAAAAGGGAGGCTGCCTTGGGAGTCGATGGACAAGCGCGCTTGGAGAAGGCACAGAAGAGCAAGTTCTTCGAATACCGCATGAATGCGCTTGCCCTCAAGACACTTATCCTCAGTCTACTACGATCTCGAAACTTGGAGCTTTCGGAATTGAAGCGGTCAGGTCATCGCCAGCAAGGATCGAATGGTATGATCTCAATACTCTCCACTGTCCGCATGTCGCTGATCCGTGGGATAGAATGGAAACTTCGGAGCGCGATATCCACCTCTGTGCGAAATCGACTTCCGCGAATCCGTCGACTTATCACGGAGTACAACAAGCTCTGTTCGAAACTTGCGGACCTTGCCATTCACCGTCAAGCGCCCAAGGGGGCGAAGATTCCGGCGACGATCGATCTCAAGGCCATTCCGACCCTGGATGTGGATGACAGCATCTGGGACGATGCCGGTCTCACCGACGCCGATCTGGGTACCACCCCCCCGCCCTGGTTGGTAGATGACTCAGTCAAGCGCGGCATCAGAGCACTTTTGGACGAGAAGCGAGCCGAGGAGGAGGGTAGGTTCCTGCGCAACGAGAGACGCTCAATGAAGGCATGGTTTCAAGAGGAGTGGTTGGTCGTCAATCGGGCACTCGAATCCGCTGGTGAGTTCTTGCTGCTTCAGCGTCTGACCAACCTGACCACAACAGATTGTGATGCCCTTCAATTCCAATTCCAAATCCGCAGGACGAGGCTTGTTGCGCTCTGTGCTGTGTGGCAGAGCTCGCTTCCCGCGGGGGACTTCGTTACTCGCTGGGGTCCCTCCGATGTTGAGTTGGCCGAGGTGGATGTGAAAAAGCATCAGCGACAAAGGAATGGTGACATTGTAGATGTCAATCCATTTTCCGCTCCACTCGAAATCGTTGCCGAAGAGGATGACGGCCTTGCATGGGATCTGTTTGACATTTGACAAAACCTAGTTTACATTCATCAAGTTTTTTGAACCTAATATGTTGCCTCACACTATGAACTTCCTAGCTATATGCCTCAGTAGCAAGCAGTTTGTAGCTTTTCAATGCCAGGACATTTTTGACAATGTCAAGTCAGGAAAAAATACTGGTTGGTACCATTGGCTTCTTGTGAGTGGTTGCAGTAGGCTCCAGTGGCAATTTGAGCCAAGTCCGGAGATGATCCCACAGGTTGGTTGCAACCGTATGAGGGAGAAGGGTGGCTGCACCCACTGTGTTGAAGGGAGAGTGGCTGCTACCACTGGTTGGAGTGTGATGGTTGGGACCATACTGGGGGGAAGGCAGTGGTAAGAACCAAACGACGTCATGGACAGTGGTTGGGACCACGACGACTGGGGGAAAGTGGCTGCTGCCACTCGACGCCAAATGACGGTTGCGACCATGCCAACGGGATGGGATTGGTGGGGACCAGTGGATCTCAGAGACACTGGTCGGGACCACGTCGAAGGGAGGCAAGGGGTTAGGATCACTCGATACAGAGGAGTGAGTGGTGCCATAGCATCTGTGAAGCTGAAGTGGAGGGGTGGGAACCTCTCGGTACGGAGTAAGTAGTGAAGGCAGTGTCAATAACAGTTTGGTCGTGATCAGTGCCCAGTACAAGATGCTGATTGGGACTGTGGGTCCCAGAATACATCAGTTGCGACAATGTCCATGTATTCAACAGGAGGTTGTGAAGGGCACACACCCAGAGTGCCAGGAAGGGATTGAGATTGATGCAGGATTCAGGGACTGTGGCTGGAAAGGGTTGAGCAAAAAAACAATTGAGAGCGGTACAGCATTAATTTGATGCAGAGGTGATTGCGCTTGCAGTGCTGTCTGGTGGGCTCCAGGGGGTTTTAACAGTTGGCAGAGTGCGGTAATACCAGCTGGATTGCAACCCAACATATGTCTGGCAGACAGCACTGGGGGCTCTTATGGCCTCAGCCAGGCCTCCAGGGTGCTCATAACAGTTGTCAGAGTGCTGTGACGCTCGAGCCTGTGCCCATACCCGTCCTACCTGCAATACCACCTGATCGCAGAAAATCCGACATATGGCCGGCAGACAGCACTGGGGGCTCTTATGGCCGCAGCCAGGCCTCCAGGGTGCTCATAACAGTTGTCAGAGTGCTGTGACGCTCGAGCCTGTGCCCATACCCGTCCTACCTGCAATACCGCCCGATCGCAGAAAATCCGACATATGGCCGGCGGACAGCACTGGGGGCTCCTATGGACGCAGCCAGGCCTCCAGGGTGCTTGCAAGAGTTGTTAGAGTGCTGTGACGCTCGAGCCTGTGCCCATACCCGTCCTACCTGCAATACCACCCTGATCGCAGAAAATCTAACATATGGCCTGAAGACAGCACTGGGGGCTCCTATGGCCGCAGCCAGGCCTCCAGGGTGCTCATAACAGTTGTCAGAGTGCTGTGACGCTCGAGCCTGTGCCCATACCCGTCCTACCTGCAATACCGCCCCGATCGCAGAAAATCTGACATATGGCCTGAAGACAGCACTGGGGGCTCCTATGGCCGCAGCCAGGCCTCCAGGGTGCTCATAACAGTTGTCAGAGTGCTGTGACGCTCGAGCCTGTGCCCATACCCGTCCTACCTGCAATACCGCCCTGATCGCAGAAAATCTGACATATGGCCTGAAGACAGCACTGGGGGCTCCTATGGACGCAGCCAGGCCTCCAGGGTGCTCATAACAGTTGTCAGAGTGCTGTGACGCTCGAGCCTGTGCCCATACCCGTCCTACCTGCAATACCACCCTGATCGCAGAAAATCCGACATATGGCCGGCAGACAGCACTGGGGGCTCTTATGGCCGCAGCCAGGCCTCCAGGGTGCTTGCAAGAGTTGTTAGAGTGCTGTGACGCTCGAGCCTGTGCCCATACCCGTCCTACCTGCAATACCGCCCTGATCGCAGAAAATCTGACATATGGCTGGCAGACAGCACTGGGGGCTCTTATGGCCGCAGCCAGGCCTCCAGGGTGCTCATAACAGTTGTCAGAGTGCTGTGACGCTCGAGCCTGTGCCCATACCCGTCCTCCTGCAATACCGGCCTGATCGCAGAAAATCTGACATATGGCCTGAGGACAGCACTGGGGGCTCCTATGGCCGCAGCCAGGCCTCCAGGGTGCTCATAACAGTTGTCAGAGTGCTGTGACGCTCGAGCCTGTGCCCATACCCGTCCTGCCTGCAATACCGCCCGATCGCAGAAAATCTGACATATGGCCTGAGGACAGCACTGGGGGCTCCTATGGCCGCAGCCAGGCCTCCAGGGTGCTCATAACAGTTGTCAGAGTGCTGTGACGCTCGAGCCTGTGCCCATACCCGTCCTACCTGCAATACCGCCCCGATCGCAGAAAATCTGACATATGGCCTGAGACAGCACTGGGGGCTCCTATGGCCGCAGCCAGGCCTCCAGGGTGCTCATAACAGTTGTCAGAGTGCTGTGACGCTCGAGCCTGTGCCCATACCCGTCCTACCTGCAATACCGCCCGATCGCAGAAAATCTGACATATGGCCTGAGACAGCACTGGGGGCTCTTATGGCCGCAGCCAGGCCTCCAGGGTGCTCATAACAGTTGTCAGAGTGCTGTGACGCTCGAGCCTGTGCCCATACCCGTCCTACCTGCAATACCGGCCTGATCGCAGAAAATCCGACATTTGGCCTGAAGACAGCACTGGGGGCTCCTATGGCCTCAGCCAGGCCTCCAGGGTGCTCATAACAGTTGTCAGAGTGCTGTGACGCTCGAGCCTGTGCCCATACCCGTCCTACCTGCAATACCGCCCTGATCACAGAAAATCCGACATATGTCTGGCAGACAGCACTGGGGGCTCCTATGGCCGCAGCCAGGCCTCCAGGGTGCTCATAACAGTTGTCAGAGTGCTGTGACGCTCGAGCCTGTGCCCATACCCGTCCTACCTGCAATACCGGCCTGATCGCAGAAAATCCGACATATGTCTGGCAGACAGCACTGGGGGCTCTTATGGCCGCAGCCAGGCCTCCAGGGTGCTCATAACAGTTGTCAGAGTGCTGTGACGCTCGAGCCTGTGCCCATACCCGTCCTACCTGCAATACCGGCCTGATTGCAGAAAATCCGACATTTGTCTGGCAGACAGCACTGGGGGCTCTTATGGCCGCAGCCAGGCCTCCAGGGTGCTCATAACAGTTGTCAGAGTGCTGTGACGCTCGAGCCTGTGCCCATACCCGTCCTACCTGCAATACCGCCCTGATCACAGAAAATCCGACATATGTCTGGCAGACAGCACTGGGGGCTCCTATGGCCGCAGCCAGGCCTCCAGGGTGCTCATAACAGTTGTCAGAGTGCTGTGACGCTCGAGCCTGTGCCCATACCCGTCCAGAGTGCTGTGACGCTCGAGCCTGTGCCCATACCCGTCCTACCTGCAATACCGGCCTGATCGCAGAAAATCCGACATATGTCTGGCAGACAGCACTGGGGGCTCTTATGGCCGCAGCCAGGCCTCCAGGGTGCTCATAACAGTTGTCAGAGTGCTGTGACGCTCGAGCCTGTGCCCATACCCGTCCTACCTGCAATACCGGCCTGATTGCAGAAAATCCGACATTTGGCCTGAAGACAGCACTGGGGGCTCCTATGGCCTCAGCCAGGCCTCCAGGGTGCTCATAACAGTTGTCAGAGTGCTGTGACGCTCGAGGCTGTGCCCATACCCGTCCTACCTGCAATACCGCCCTGATCACAGAAAATCCGACATATGGCCTGAAGACAGCACTGGGGGCTCCTATGGCCGCAGCCAGGCCTCCAGGGTGCTCATAACAGTTGTCAGAGTGCTGTGACGCTCGAGCCTGTGCCCATACCCGTCCTACCTGCAATACCGGCCTGATCGCAGAAAATCCGACATATGTGGCAGACAGCACTGGGGGCTCCTATGGCCGCAGCCAGGCCTCCAGGGTGCTCATAACAGTTGTCAGAGTGCTGTGACGCTCGAGCCTGTGCCCATACCCGTCCTACCTGCAATACCACCCTGATCGCAGAAAATCTGACATATGGCCTGAGGACAGCACTGGGGGCTCTTGGCCGCAGCCAGGCCTCCAGGGTGCTCATAACAGTTGTCAGAGTGCTGTGACGCTCGAGGCTGTGCCCATACCCGTCCTACGTCCTACCTGCAATACCGCCCCGATCGCAGAAAATCTGACATATGGCCTGAAGACAGCACTGGGGGCTCCTATGGCCGCAGCCAGGCCTCCAGGGTGCTCATAACAGTTGTCAGAGTGCTGTGACGCTCGAGGCTGTGCCCATACCCGTCCTACCTGCAATACCACCCTGATCGCAGAAAATCCGACATATGGCCTGAAGACAGCACTGGGGCTCCTATGGCCGCAGCCAGGCCTCCAGGGTGCTCATAACAGTTGTCAGAGTGCTGTGACGCTCGAGCCTGTGCCCATACCCGTCCTACCTGCAATACCGGCCTGATCGCAGAAAATCCGACATATGTCTGGCAGACAGCACTGGGGGCTCTTATGGCCGCAGCCAGGCCTCCAGGGTGCTCATAACAGTTGTCAGAGTGCTGTGACGCTCGAGGCTGTGCCCATACCCGTCCTACCTGCAATACCACCCTGATCGCAGAAAATCCGACATATGGCCGGCAGACAGCACTGGGGGCTCCTATGGCCGCAGCCAGGCCTCCAGGGTGCTCATAAACAGTTGTCAGAGTGCTGTGACGCTCGAGCCTGTGCCCATACCCGTCCTACCTGCAATACCGGCCTGATCGCAGAAAAATTCATTTTTGATATCTGCACAGTACCAGGGCAGCAAATACCACATTCCATACCCTGGTTCGAACCACTGATTCTTTCTGCGTGGTAGGCACCATTTGCCGGTGTTTGGTCCCGACCACTCCTTCATCCCATAACCTGGTTGGAACCACTGATTCTGTCTGTGTGGTAGGTACCACCTGCTCTTCGTTTGGTTCTGACCAACGTATTC